TCATGAATCTTTGGAGCTCTGTTCCTGAAAAGATAATGGGAGAGCATCTTTTGAATCTTTTAAGACAGAGCTATATAGATTCTGGGAAGCAAATGATTCTTGGGGTGAATGTGGATTTGAGAATACAGTCAGATCAGCCATGATCTTATTAAATTGGGGAACTGGATAGAGGGGCTGAATGCCCTACTCCAGCTTGTTCTCAATGGCTTCTTTTCTGTCTGAGACTATTCTAGCCCACAGCAGTTATCTTAACTGTCCTGACTTCCACCTTTCCGATTACACTTATCATTCCCCTTGATGGCTTTCACATTTTGTAACCACTCAGTCCCTCCCCATGTGAAGACAATGGCAGCTTCACCCTCAGTTTGTTTCTTCCTTCTTATGCTGTTCATGTGTTAAAGATTATGAAACAGGTTGATCGGGTAAATGTAGAGAAGATGCTTCCACTTGTGACGGAGATGGAAAATAAGGGTCATAAATATAACTGCCTCACTAATAGCAAGAAACTTAGCCAGTGAGTGGTGAAGACTCTGTCACAGTGAACCAAGATGAATAACATCAGTACGTTTGAGGAGAAACTTGATAAGTGTAGAAGGCAGAAAGTAATAAAATATGTGTTGGTATGGGTGGATGGTGTAAAGTGAGGAGTCTATATATCAATGTTCGGCTGAATGGCCTGTTTCAGTAACTTCAGTGTAATGCCTGCAGCATAATACCTCAGGAGGCTTGCATCTGGAAGGGGAGGAGTGTGTGTTTGCTGGTATTATTCATCCCCCATTGGGTGCCCCAGAGAATGTAGCTTTACAACGTTGATGCCACCAAGGTCACACTGCAGTGCCATTCATACTGCACACACTCTGCTATGAACTTGGCAATGTGTAAATACAGTCCAAGTCATCCTTGTGGAAATGCAACGTTTACTCAACATGCAGCCTTCCTCTCTGATCTCTGCAAGCTTGTGCATGGAACAGAGGAGGTCTTTATAGAAGAATGTTTACACAGTAATTGCAACCTTTGGTGTGAAAAAGCTTTGATCTGGCCTCATTTCACCCGTTTTTAAAATCCAGTATACTGAGCAATCTTCTCTTCCTTTCTGGCAAACATGATTTTAGTAGAAGCCACTTTGGCGAAACAGGTTTGCTTTTACTTTAGTAAACCTCCAGAATTGCCACAGGTTCTGTTGGAAACTGATTACATGTTCATGCAATTGAAAGTGAGCCTTAACTCAAGTCAGTTTGTCATTGTACTTATTACATTGTAATTATTTAATCAATTTTATGTTGAGATTCTTTTCAGGAGCTCTCGTGAGATTCATTATTAAATCCATGGCTTATGCAGTTGCAAATTACAGTTTAAATAGGCCAAAAGAGGCATTCCTAATTGATACAAAACAGGCACCAGAGTGTGAAAAGCAACAAAATTTAAAGATAATGTTGTTAAAAACATTATTTTGCTGTTTTTCCATTTTGAACTGTAACATTCAATTCTATCGACCATTAATGAATAAAAGCTGCTTCTCCTCCATTGATACTTATGGTGTTGAACTAGAAATCTCCTTTTCCATTTTTGGGTATTGGCAAGTGGAACTGTTTACAATAATTTACGATGAGGATATGGGGCCTGGTAATGTGCCAGCATATTCCTGCAATCCAGTCCAGAGGGAATGAGGAGGATGGGATATGACTTGGACACTGCAGCAGTTTCTGCAGAGCATTGTTCAATGTGGCGTCTCTGTGGTCTCTAGGACACCGCAAGTAAGACAGGCTGTGACCAGCAGAGGGATGTTTGCTTGTTGCTGGAGTGACTGACCAGTGGAGATACTGAAGACATTTTCTGAGAGATTTGGGCCTCTCCAGGGGACATTGTCCTAAAGACATTTCTATTTTCAATAGGATTTGGGTGGTCCTCAATCTACCTCTCACCCCGCACTTGTTTCATCTTCTTTGAATAGGTGATCATGAGAATCAACCCTTTTGATGTAGGTACATACCCAACTTAATTAAACCTTGGTTTAAAATTCAGATTCTAACATGCAAATCCTGCAAATGAAACCAAAATACTGCAGATGCCAGAAATCTGAAACAAATACAGAAAATGTTGGAGAAACTGATCCTCTGTGGAGAGAGAAATTGAGTTAACGTTTTGAGTCCGATGTAATGTTGCCAGACCTGTTGAGTTCCTCCAGCATTTTGCTTCACATCCTACCATGCTTTCATTCCCTTTATCTCTAACATCTTCCTGCCATACAGCTACTCAATACCTCTGCTTACTACTGTTTCTGGGCCTCTGTTGTGATGATGTTCAGGGAATTAAGGGACTTGCTTTCAATTGGGGGAGGCAGTTGCATAGTGTTAATGTCTATTGCATTGGTTTTTAATTGCTCCAATATCACTGTCCTTCAGCTGCCTGAGTCAGGAGCTCTCCAATTCCCTTCCTAAACCTTTGTGTCCTTCAGGATAACTCTCCTGTGAAAGAACTTGGGATGTATAAATGGAAGTTGTTACAGTAGGTGAGCTTACCCTGAACATACCAACTTCGGTAGGATCAGCAGCAAATGTCAGTATTTACCGTGGGAACGACAGAGCTTTGGAGTTTTCTTCACTTCCTTCCCCTTCGCTCCATGATCATATCAGCCCAGTGCATCACTTATTACTCCGTTCATTTCAGAGGTGGGGTCACCCTTAAGAGATTTTATTAAGGGCAGAATGTTGCTCAAAAATGAGAAACAGACCAATCTGATCTTGTGTTTACATAGCTTGTTTTGGAAATGTAGAGGAATAACTATATCTTGTGATTATCTCTGGATCAGAGAGTGTTTCAATTGTTTGTTGAAGTCAGCTCTTTAGTGTGGTGACAAGTGGTTTAAATTAAAATGGGACTTTGAAGGAACCTGGTATGCTTTAAGACTGAAGATTAAAGTTGACATGCTGGGTTTTGTTCTTCAGGAGATTGCCCAGCACATCCGTCACATCTGGTAGTTGTAAACTTCTTTTAAGTATGGAAAAATGTTAATGGTTTCAAAATGTGTTCTTTTATTGGTTTATGTACTAGTTGACACCTAAGATTGTGGTTTTGATACAGAGTGCACGCTACATCCCTGATGCTATCTGTAATCGTGATGTCAACACTCCTTCAGCTGTAACCATTTCTGTCCAGTCAATGGTGGCTGGGAATAGGCTGGAGTGGGGTTGACAGGGTTTTGTGAGCTCAGTTGAAAGGGTTGGAATGGGGAATGAAGTCCGGGCCCACCTCCGCTTGATGTGTTTATCCCACCGGAAGTCAACAGAGTGTTCATAGTTGGAACTTCAGCCTGAACGTGTTGAAATATCTGGGGCAGGATTCAAACCATGTACTGTCTGACACAGAGATAGGAATGTTATCACTGAGCCAAAGACTTGTTTCAGTCTATAGGGGATGAGGGCAATTTTAAAAAATATCATGGGATGTGGGCATCGCTGGTCAGGCCTAGTGTTTACTGCCTTTCTCCCAGTGCCTGAAGGCAGTTAACAGTCAGCCACATTGCTGTGGGTCTGGAGTCAGGCCAGTGCAGGTAAGGATGGCAGATTCCCTTCTCGAAAGGGCATCAGTAAACCAGCTGGGCTTTTTACAGCAATCGATAATGGCACTTGCTTGCCATTAGGCCAGCTTTTAATTTGAGGTTTTTATTGAATTCAGATGTCACCATCTGCCATTGTGGGATTCAAACCCATGTCCCTAGAGCATTAGCCTGGGCCTCTGGATTACTAGTGTAGTGACATAAACACGCTGCCATCACTTCCCCTCAATTGGGAGTAAGTCCCTTTAATTCCCTGAACCGCACAACAACCAGAGACCAAGAAATCAGTCTCCAGTGAAACCACTCTGTCTGACCAGCGAGGACGAGGGGAGGGGAGTGCGGAGTTGGGGGGGGGGGGGGGGAGGGGGGGGGGGGTTGGGGTGGAGGTTTTGGATGTGGGAAGGGGGTTTGGTCATGTCCATTTTACAGTCAATCTTAAGTGAACAATGACACGCCAACCACATACATTCCTGCAACCCTGTGCATCACAATCTATATCCATTCCAATCAAAACTCTGATCTTCTTGGAGAGGCAAACGCCAGGTTTTAAAAAGCAACACCAAATTGCGAAGAAAATCTGGAAAACTTCCCCTCCCGAATCCTGCAGACGACCAGAACCAGCCCAGGAAATCATTCCCATTCTGGATCATTCCTTGCTGTCCTAACTTTTTTGTATGAAATGATCTGTGTCCCAGTTGGAAGAAGGTCCAGCTCTTATTTGGAAGAAATCAGCAAACCTGGGGCCCACCACCTGACCTGTTACCTGTTTCAGAAACTTTAACCTGTAACCAGCCTATAGTTGTCAATGCCATTGAGCATATGATCTATACCCAGTATGATCAAATCAGGAACATAGAACATAGAACTGTACAGCACAGTACAGGCCCTTCGGCCCACAATGTTGTGCCAAACTTTTACCCTAAACCTAAGGTTTATCTAACCTCCACCCCTACCTTATACTATCATCCATATGCCTATCTAATAGCCGCTTAAATGCCCCAATGAGGCTGACTTCACTACCGTCTCTAGCAATGCATTTCACGCCCCTACCACTCTCTGAGTAAAGAACCTACCTCTGATGTCTCCCCTATATCTACCTCCACTCACTTTAAAACTATGCCCCCTCATAACAGCTACCTCCACCCTAGGAAAAAGTCTCTGGCTGTCCACTCTATCTATACTTCTGATCATTTTGTACACCTCTATCAAGTCACCTCTCATCCTTCGTCATTCTAAAGAGAAAAGCCCTAGCTCTCTCAACCTTTCCTCATAGGAAGCAATGATAATTGTCCTCCATGAGTATCTCCAAACCCTCCTCCAGCATGTTCTGTGTTGAGTATGATTCATTAAAACAAGGGGTCCAAGTGGGAAAGGAAGTAGGAGCTGGAAGTAATTGACCAATCTTGGGTTATCTTGGTGATTCCCTGCAATATTTTATTTTTAGGTTTATTACACATGTGGAGCCGTTGTTGATTCCGAAGCTCAAGGCATTATCCTCTCACCTGGCTTTCCCATAAGTTATGTTCCAGGCACTCACTGTTTGTGGCAGTTTTTCATCCCAGCTGGTGTCCGTCTTGTTTTGGAAGTTTTTGATTTTGACGTGTTTGAGAGTCAACACAATGCTAAATCTCTACTTGGTGACCAATCAACTCCTGTGATGACAAATGGAGAGAGATCTGTTTCTGGGCCATCAGAGAAAGGGGGAACTGTCCAGAGTCGAGAATCCGATGACTTATATCCTCATGCAAAGGAATCTGTTCAAGGTGGAAGAAGAAGGATATTGTTTAATGAGACAAATGTGTCTAATTCAAAAACTTTTGAAGGAGACTACTCTATGACCCATTCCTATAAAGCTAAAGACAAACAAGTAGTGGCACAGGAAAAGTCCGCAAAATTAGAAATGGTTAAGATGCCACCGTTAAAGCAGGATTTCGCAATCACAGACTCTTGGCTTGGCGAATTGAATAAGAATGATTCTGAAAAGTCAAATCTGAGTGACCCACATACAGGTTTTGGCAGTTACCAAGACATGAATGCAGACCCACAACCCGACAGCGAATGGGTCCAAAAAGGTGAAAAGAGGCTTGAAATTGACCAGCGTCAGGAACAGCAAGTAAATGATTTGACTGAGGTCACAGTGACCCCTGTGACAAAAGTGACACCCTTCATCCCTCCAGAGGTCTGCCCAAATGATGTTTTATACATTTCGGACCTGATTACGTTCTCTGCCCGATTTTGTGGAGCCAATAGCCCCATCAACAAGACGTTGATGTTTGGTTCTTCCCTGGAGATGGTGGAGGTGGTGGTGGAGCTGATCACCACCACAGACCAGGGCCGTGGCTTCCTTCTACTCTACCAGTTTAAAACTGGCACAGACCCTGATCTTCGGACCTTGATAAAGCACGGGGACAAAGACAACCTCATTCATTTCCTAGTCATTACTGGCATTGCTATCTTATCTGCGGTTCTTCTGATTGCACTCTGCCATACCTGGAGGTAAGTTTAAACTCTATTAAGTTCTCTCTGGTTTCTCAGCACTTTAAGCAAAGTCTGTTCCAGAAACTATTTTTTGTGCTAAAGCTTTAGACAACTCTTACTGTTTGGGGGAGATTCTTTCAGGATCCAGCTTCAAGACTTGTTCCCAATGTGCATTCTTTAATTGAATAAAACTTCTTCATTTGATAATAGAAGGAAGAAAAGATTTGCAATGCCTATATAAAGCCTAAGGTTGCTCCAAAGTGCAAATAAGGTATTATTGAATTGTAGTCACTGCTGTAGTATAGGAATTCCAGCAGCCAATTTGACCACAGCAAGCTCCCACAAACACCACTGTGACACTGACCAGTTAATCCATGTTAGTGATATTGGTTGAAGGATAACTATTGTCCTTGGACACCATGCGGAACTCCCCTGAAGTTTTTTTCAGATAGTGACATGGCATATCTTATGTCTACCTATTGGGGCATGGATGGGTCAATTCAAACACACCTTCCCCTTTGCAACTGGTTCCTTGATCAATTTTATTTTCCCAATAAAATGAACAGTGTGGAAAGCAACCACTGTTCAAGGTTACTATGAATAACCATCATTAAATGCCCTTTATGTTAATTTCTTGGTATGGATATGAATAAAGACATATCTATGATAAAGTAACTTAAAGTAATATAGTTTTAATTGTTGATGGTAATTGGGTTGTCTTGGGAATCTTAATTGAAGCAATCTTAATTGAATCTGGCTTTGATAAATTTACACTGTCAATACCCATTAAGTTTCAAAATAAAAGAGACCACTGGCTTTCTTCATTGGTATCTGTACTTAAGGTCTAGTGGCTCTTCTGTTGTATATTAAGAAATCATTTAGGATGAGGCAAGTCTGTGCACTGTGGAACAATAATGGACTTTAGTTTTCAGGCTATCTTCATTCAGTGAGACTGTTCCACAGGGGAATCCATAAGACCATAGGAACAGAAATAGGCCATTCAGCCCTTTGAGTCTGCTGCACCATTCAACAAGACATAGCTAATCTGATAATCCTTAACTCCTTTTCCTGCCTTTTCCCTAAAACCCTTGATACCCTTGCAGATTAAAAATCTGATCATCTGAGCCTTGAATATATTTAATGACCCAGCCTCAATAACCCTCTATGGTAAAGAATTTCACAGATTCACAACCCTTGGAGAGAAGAAATTCTTCCTCATCTCTGTCTTAAATGTACAACCCTTTACTCTGAGATAATGCCCTCTGATTCTGGACTGTCCCACAAGGGGAAATAACTTTTCTGCATTTAACCTGCAAAGCCTTTTAAGAATCTTGTATGATTCAATAAGATCACCTCTCATTCTTCTAAATACCCAGTACAGGCCCAGCCTATCAACCATGCTAGAATGTCTGGAATTAAGAATCTAATGATGACCATGAACCCATTGTCAGTTGTTGGGGGAAATACCCATCTGATTCACTAATGTCCTTTAGGGAAAGAAACTGCCATCCTTACCTGATCTGGCCTATATGTGACTCCAGACCCACAGCAATGTGGTTGACTCTGAACTGCCCCTGGGCAATTAGGGATGGGGAATAAATGTTGGCCTATCCACCTATGCCCTCATCCCATTAATGAATATAAAAAAAACTCCAGTGTAAACAGTTTTTCTGTTAATTGGAGTTTCTCTATGTCTGGCTCACCTTGTGTTGTTGATTACTCCTCTCCCAGAGACAGCACCATCTCCAAGCTTTGGAAACACCCTCTGGAACCCTGTACGATGTGTGTTCTCAGGCCTTTCTGTCAGAACAGGAATTTGCACCAGACCCCTCTGCTATCACTTGGGGAACGAGTTGGGCCTGGATTGAATACTATTTTCCTTACTCCTCCCCCTGAGGAGAGCGGACAGCGACTTTCCAATTGGCTGTTGGCCAGAGTTCGATTAGCTGCACCTCAATTGGTAGGATTTCTGAAGGGGCTCTTTGGCAGTCGATTTGTGCATTGGGCTGGCCCAGACGATTGAAAGATCCCCTGTAGAAATTCTGATCCCTGCAGATGTTTCACTGCTGGCTATTTCTCTGTGGTTTTGGAGTTAGCCCAGGTGCTATATTGAAAACAGGTCCCAGCCCACCCTGAACACAAGAATTTCACATCAGACGTACTGATCAGTTCATAAGGCAATTTCCTACCAGGAGCAGTGCGTCTAGACCTAGAACTCAAATCATATAATTCTTCTAGTCAGTAATTGCCACCAACATCCTGAAAAATTAGGCTTTCAGTTAAGGTTAACTGACTCCAGATGGAATAATCTCACAAGCATTGACTGGTGACTGCTTTGACTGACATTTAGATTCCTGTTTTTTTTTGTCTGTCTCCTGAGCCTTCCCCACTGAAAGCATATTAGTGCATCAAGATTGTACTTCAGTTAATTGTTAAATGTTTAAATCTGACTTTTAAAAATAGCTACAAATTACACAATAATTATTTGCTCTGATGAGTCAGTTGTAGTCCTAAGATGTTATGATTAAAATGGTCTCAACATAAAATGGAAGCAAATATCCTGCCTGTGTCAGCAATCTGTTTTTGTCTCTTCTCTATGGATTAGGAACAGGAAGAGGCCATTCAGCTGCTGAAGCCAGTTTTGCCATCCAGTGAAATCATGGCTGATTATCATAAGCTTATGACATTGAAATATAAAAGATTTATCGCACAGAAGGAGGCCATTCAGCCCCTCCTATCTGTACTGGGAATACTGATTCCGGTTAATCTCCTTGACCAGCGCTCAGTTAATAGCTCTCTGTAGATTACAGCTTCTCGGTTAAAGAATTGATTGATTGATTCCAGAGTTTGGCGAGGTGCTATTTTTGTTGAGTTTTGTGGAGGGTTCCTCTCCACACTTATCGCCCTGAGCTTGCCCAGTTTATTCTACTCGCCATAATCGGAAATACTCTGTCATTGCCTGGATATCCCAGGGCGTACCAACATCCCTGGCACAGGTACCAGATTTAGGCTGTTATGCCCTCAAAGTGCTGGCTGCCTGAGGCTGCCCTGCACGTTTGCAGACATTCACCCTGGGGATGGGGAAAAGGGAAATTGATGCCTGCTTGTCCAACAAGGACTGGAGGTTCTGGTGGTACAGAGAGGGGTGCCATTGTAGACCATGCTGTCAGCCTGGTCAGAGGTTGCCCCCGAGGTTGGTGCAGTCTCCATGGTCCCGAGGAACCAGTGCAGGAAGAAGATGGATGACATTTGCTCCAGAGGATAAGTGTCAAACTCTTTCTCTGTGACCTCACACTCGCGCTCTCTCTCTGCTACTGCACCCACCTCCCACCAAATCTCATGTTCTTCCATACTCACTGCCACGTGCAATATCCACCCTTGCTCACTCTTGCCATTGCTACCCTAATCGTGTCCCTTGCAGACAGGCAGGTAGACATACACAGAGTCAGGTGCACACACACCCCCCAACCCAGAATGGCCTCTGTGTTTACTCGGTCAGTCGGGACACCTCACCATTTCCTGCCCCACCCAGCAGCACTAACAGCTGTCCTACTCCCTTTCACCTCCCTCAATGTCCCCTTTCACACCAGCTCCAATACTGACACACCTCAGTGGCTTTGTTCTTGAGATTGGAGTCAGGAGTAGTTGCCGACGAGCACATCATTGCCATGTGTTTGCAGCTGGTCAAGGGAGAAATGCCCATAGCCGCTGGCACTGGAAGGATTGTTGGAGACCAGGCACGGACTCAACCCAGGAGAGGGTGGAGGGGAGGGGGGCAGTCCCCATGATGTTGGCAGTCACGGGAGTTACTCAATATGCACTGGAGCAGTGGGCAGATTTGTGGGTGGCACTGAGCAACTACCACAAAGGGAAATCAGTGCCCCACTTTGCCAGCAGGTCCCTGGAGGTCCTGGTGGTACAGAGAGGGTTGACCTCTTCCAGAGGACTGCCAGGGTAGACCACACTACCAGTAGTGTACAGGGCGCAGGATCCACTGCCTCAGGCATCTGGCTGCCTCCATGAGCAGGTTGGCAGTTGCCAGGAAGAACCAGCTCCAGTCTGTTCACCAACATGGAAAGGTGGGCCTTGAAGCTCAGTGACTGAGGAGCAGCTGCTGTTGCCTCTCACCATGTTGGAAACAACGAGTTTGCGATGGGGCTGAAAATGGCTGTGAGCACACCTGGAGTGGATGTGTTGTTCTGTAAGGGAGGGGGGCTTCAAGTTTGAGCAATTTGAGGCAATTTAAACAGCATCAGCATTACACAGACCCCCCCACCCCTCCTACTGAAGCTCAAACACACCTCCAAGCACTACTGGTGATTCATGGCCTAGGAAGCTCCCATCCCAAGTGTTTTTCTCAACATGCTGAAACATTTTAAACTCCCTACTAGGCAGTGTTTTCCCAAAATTCCACTCGATATCTTTACTAATCCTTCTACCAATTATTTCCATTTTGGTCGCACACTGTTCATAAAATATTTTGAATCGACCTATTCAGACATGTTATGACACACTTCTAGTGCAGGTGGGACTCAAACCCTTCTGGCCCAGAGGTAGGTACGCTACCACTGCATCCCAAGAGCCCCAGGTACCTCAATATCCTTGGTTACCAACACTTTTGATCTCCAGTGATGATCCTCCCTCTTTGTTTTGGCCCTCTCCCCAGCTGTTCCTTTCTTCTCTCTTGTTCTCTTTTTCTTTTTCGTTCTATCGTTTTTCTTTCTCTCTCTCTTTCTTTTTTCTCTTCCCCTCTCTCTCTTTTTCTCTCTTTCTCTCTTTCGCTTTCTTTCTCTCTCTCTCTCTCTTTCTTGCTGTCTCTCTCTCTCGCTGTCTCTCCCACTGTTTCTTTTCCTTCTCTTTCCTAATGATTCCTTTATAAATTCCCTAAAATCTCAACTCAAAGCACCCCTTAAGCTTTTATGTTTTGAGATAATCCATCTATGTAATCTCTGTTTATGAGTTAATCCTTGGAGCCTTGGTAACATTCTGGTTGTTCTGTATTGCACCCTGCCATGACT